GAAAATTATTCTGTGGCTCTTCTTAACTTTAGAAATGAACCAATAACTCACAGCAGTATGTATTCAGACAACTGTTTCATAATTTCACCCTGCCCAGTACTGCCCACATCCATGTCAGCCCATTTTTCTGTGGACTGGGAGAGCTTCAGGTGCTATTCAGGGAGCTCTATAAGGAGACGCAAGGTAACCTCACATAGGCCTTGGCAGAGGTGTGCCATATGCCCCATACCCAATATCTCTCTTTATCAGGTACTATAGAGCCACATGTGGGTTAGATAACATGCTCCACCTTTCAGAGTACTTCCACATCCTTTCTCTCATTTAATAGAGTCCTCACCTGCATATTTACATCTTGATTTTATTTTGGTTGATCAGGGGAAGATGGTTTTTTCCCCTTTGGAAACACATTTTCAGTGGTTACTCTAGGCTTGAGTGTTTCTCCTAAATCACACCATAGCTCAGTCTCTCACCTGCACATGGGGATAGTGGTAGGGTCTCCTGCAGGCTTTGTGAGGACTGAATGAGTTTAATGCCCAGAGCACTTAGCATTGTGCCCATCCCTGGTGGTAAGTCAGGGAGAGTCCAATCTTATCCTGTTCTTTTCATCGTGACACCATGTGCACTGGAAAATGGCAAGTTGCCAGTTGGGGCATCCGGCTGCTTCCCTTTTCATTGTTTTTGTTTCCATTTTCTCCACCATGATAACAACCCCAGAGCATACTTACCCTTGTGTTGAGAGTGGGGGTGGGGAGCGTGCATGTTGTCAGCTGGAACAGTTGGCAGAACTGGCTTCTTAGTGTTATCTCCATGTAATCCTGAGCCACAGCTGTGCACTGCCCTGCCCAGTCCCTGAGGGTGTGACATCTTGATCCTGTGTCATCTAACCCCTTAGTTTTTTACCTTGGTGATTTAGGAGGTGATCCTTCTTACCTGGACTCATACTGACATTGTTCACGGTTGGACTACAGGATCATCTTCCCTGTTTTTCCCATTCTGACATGTCCCTGGCAAATCTAACATTTTCTCCCCATTTTTTCACACCCACAAATATTTATGTTCCACATCATTGATTCACATTTTAGGAAAGACAAAACTTTAGTGGGAGTCTCAGATTAAGAAAGGAATAATAATACTTTTCCTTTATGCTACCTATTGAGGAAATAGAATTGGCTTATTAAAAGGTAACCTGTGATTTAAAAAAGATAAAAGAAAACAAGCTAAGCAAAAGAGATTATGGATAAGGCTGGTTCTAAGAATGAGGAAGAATAGAGGTGATCTGCTTGCTTGACTCATTCATTCTCACTTATCCAGTATTAGGACGTTGGTAATTGTCTGGATCAATATAATTTATAGACAAGATATGCATGTGGAAGAAATAGGCGGACTGATGTTGTGCTTAGGCCCACAAGAACAATTGCATTCATGATCATGATTTCACCCAGATTTTTAACTCAAGTCTAAGCCTTGGGATTTCAAGAGGACCTATTGCCTTCATCTTTATTTGTACTTAGTTGTTTTGGTAAGTACTATAGAAGTAATTCATGTTTATGTGGAAACTTTGGAAAAAAGGGAAAAACATGAACAGAGTTATCTCTGAGTTGTAAGATAATGTTTTGGTCTATTTGCTATCTTTCGGGTAAGGTCTTTGTGTGTATCTCTAATATAACATATCATGAAACATTTTCCAAATTACTAATTCTTTCCAACCTGATTCTCTTGTGTGATTCATTTACCCATTCTCGTCTATGTCCCTCTAATAAGCTGGTTCCAGTTTTATATGTTTATAAGCAAAACTGTGGTAAATGTCCTTGTACTCATTTGTAGCTCTTAATTTAAGAGCTTTTGTCTCAGTTTCCTTGGGAACATTTCCAGAAGTAGAATTATTGAGTCACTGTTTCATACACTCTTCCGGTAACACCCTTCCTAGTCCTTCTCAATAAGGTGGGAGCCCTGGGAAGAGAAGGAAGAATCATAGAGTGATCCATTGTTTGTATGACATACTCCCACATCCCCTCCAGGCACACTGACTTCTGTCTTTGCCTTAGGGTCTCTGATATGCCCTACCTTTCATATCTGGAGTGTACTTTAGCTTGAGGAACATCTATGGAGCCAAAAACAGACCAATAAAATCATATGAGATTTGTAAAAAGCAACCAGCAGCTTGGCTTGACTCCTCCTTGTAGGGTGAGACTGGCCCCTTAGCAATTAAGCCCACACGAGGTATAGATCTAGGAGACCCTATGACTTCAATTCAGGATGAGTTTACAGCAGTGACCTCTGTTATTTGGTGGTCAGGCTGAGAAGGAGTGTGGAAGTTGTCCTGAAGACAGTTAGAGAATGTGAATTTCCAGTCTGGCACTGCCATACCCTAAGCTATGTGACTTTGCTAACATTTTTCAAAATGAATAACAAGTGATCAGAAAGGCCCCTGTAGCTCCAATTTTCCCAGAGTCCCAGGTTTTTTAATTTACCAAGGCCTGATTCAGTAGTACCAATGATCCTACTTTGAAGACTCTAGTGCTTTGAAAATGGAAAAGATTGGTGTTTCTGAGTGGAAAGAGTAGCAGAGAGCTTTGTACATTTCTTTTTTCCATGCTGAGCTGGTAGTTAAGTGATGCTGTTGAAAAGGGAATACAGCACCCTCACAGTTTTAAATTAAGATGTCTTCTCCCTGAAATTTAAGAAAATCACACCTACAAATTAGTTTCTCTCCAGACAAATTAAATACATTAACCTCCAGAATGGTGTCAGGACATTTTTGCCTAGTTTGTAGTTCCCCTGTGTGAATGAGCCAGCCTAAAATAATAATAACAATAATAAAAATAGTAGTTATATCATCATCATAATTTATAATTACTAAAGAGTAAATGGAAAAATGTCATGAATACGTTTTACTGATATAAAATGCAGATTTCTTTCCCAGCTGGGCATGGCTCAGCGGTTGAGCATCGACCTATGATCCAGGAGATTGAAGTTCAGTTTCTGGTCAGAGCACATGCCTGGGTTGCAGGCTCGATCCCCAGTAGGCGGCATGCAGGAGGCAGCCAATCAGTGACTCTCATTGTTGATGTTTCTCTCTCTCTTTCCCTCTCCCATCTCCTCTCTGAAATCAATAAAGATATTAAAAATAAAAAAAGGTAGATTTCTTTAGTCTTATTTGGTTTCATGTAGATGAGATACATAAAGAGATTACATTGTGATTGCATAGTTTAGAAAACATTTTGTATGTTTTTTCCCCAATAATCAAGCCATATTTAAATGTCTACTTTGTGTCATTATCAATGGGTAAGGCAAGTAATTCTAGTAAAATCCCATTGCTAACTTAAAAAGAACATCCAATTATTTTTATTCTGTACTGGAATTGCATCTTAAAAATTTGAACTAGGCCCTGGCTGGGTAGCTGAGTTGGTTGAGCATTGTCCTGTTCACCAAAGGAAGCCAGTTAGATTCCCGGTCAGGGCACACACCTGGGCTGTGGGTTCAATCCCCAGTTGGGGCATATACAGAAGGCAGCTAATTGATGTTTCTCTCTCATATCAATGTTTCTCTCTCTCTTCCTCTCCTTTCCTCTCTCTAAGCATGTCCTTGGGTAAGGATTAAATAAACAACAATCAATGAGATACCACTACACACACATTAGAATGGCAAAAATCAAAACACTGACGTCACCAAATGCTGGTGAGGATGTGGAGCTACAGAACACTCTTTCATTGCTAGTGGGAATGCAAAATGTACAACCACTTTGAAGACAGTTTGGCAGTTCCTTAGAAAACTAAACATACTCTGCTATACAATCCAGTAGTCACACTCTTTAATACCCAAAGAAGTTGAAAACTTCTAGCTATAGAAAAACCTGTGTGTGAATATTTATAGCAGCTTTATTCATAGTTGCCAAAACCTTGAAACACCCAAGAAGCCCTTCAGTAGGCATATGGATAAATTAACTGTGGCACATCCAGACAATGGAATAGTATTCAGCACTGAAAAGAAATGAGCTGTCAAGCCATGCAAAGACATGGAGGAAACTTAAATCCATATTACTGAGTGAAAGAAGCCTATCTGAAAGGCTACATAATGTATCATTCCAACTATATGACATTCTGGAAAAGGCAAAACTATGGAGTCATAAAAAGATCAGTAGTTGCCAGGGGAGTATAGTTAGATGAGGGCAGAGCACAGAGGATTTTTAGGGTAATGAAAATAGTCGGTATATTATAATGGTAGATTCATGTCATTATATATTTGTCCAAACCCATAGAAAGTACACCACCAAGAGGGCACCCTAAGATAAATTGGACTGTGGGTATGTCAATGTAGGTCACCCTTAGAAAACTATGTACCACTCTGGTGAGTGATGTTGACATGGGGGTGGCTGTGCCTATGGGGTCTGGAGGCCATATGGGAGATCTCTGTACCTTCCCCTCAATTTTGTAGTAAACCTAAACCTGCTCTAAGAAAATTAAGTCTTTTTAAGAGATGATAATAAAATAAACGGGGCAGTCAAATAGATAATGCTTAATTTAAGAGCTTCTGTCTCAAATTAAAATTTTTGAACCTCTAGTAATATCTGTTTTTCCTTTTCCCACAGTTTCACTCATATGTTGTTCATAAATCTTAACTATGGGATTTTGGCTCCCTGTTAGGTAAAATATTTCATTTAACTTAACAAAGCAGATTCAGAGTAGCCTGGGAATAGTTAGGCGGCCTCCTTTCCTCCCAGAACATCGAGAGACTCTGTATGTATTTTTTTTTCTTGTTTGTTTATTTTTAGGAAAAGGAGGAGTCCTTTTGACTCCCCTGATCCAGGCTAGGGTGCAGCATTGTCTGCTTAGCTGAAGCACGTGCTGTGCTTTGGCCGGAGACCTGAAGTGGTAACATCCCCAGTGCCCCATCTCTGGAGCCAGCCTGCTCCGGCATCCGCAGGCCGAATGTCAGCTTGCAATCTGATTACAGGGTTTGAGCTATTCCAGCCTGCAGCCTCTTTCTCTGCCTTCCTATCCTCCCAAGGACACAAGTGCCTGATTGCTCTAGCCCAGCGCTGTGAAAGCCTCATCCCAGTGCTGCTTACAGCAGCGAAGACTGTGCTGGGTGAGAATTAGCTGTAGAGCAGGCTCTGTTACTGAACTTTCTATGTGTAACCATGATCAGAAGCCCAGGGTTTTCCAGCTATTTGGGAGCTTTCAAGTTCTCTGAGAAACAAGGTAAGGCAAGAGAAATAAAAAATGTACTTCGGTGTATATTTTATATCATAATGAGTGCCCTGTGTCCTCCATTTTACCCTGTGTTCTGCATCCAGATAGTTATACAGCTTTCTTAAAGGACACTTTAAATATCTAATGGAGTTTAAATTAGCTTATTTTGGGGGTTGCTGAAAAACATGAATTTTTTTTTTTTTTTGTTATAAAGATATTATTAAACCACTAAAGCCTTATTTAGGAAAAAATGCCAATTCAATTGGAATGCCCAAACTTTGGATCAAGTTCTGAACTTTTAAATATTTTTCTAGATCAAATGCTATAAAATTATTTCCGGTAGGCAGTGGTGAATGTCTTTTTATTAAATCTTCATGCGAAACAGTTTGAAATAAAATGTTGTCCTTTTAGTGGCTTCCTTTCCAGCACAGAGGAAAATATATGCTCTCAATTTAAGCATGGAAGTGGTGTCACAGACTCAGTTCACTGACTGAACAACAATGAAATACCGAGGTTATTTTGAATGTCTCAGTTGAAACTCAGCCATTGTATGTGAAAGTATTTTCTAGCACAAATGCACTATAAGGAAGTGATTGGAACAGTTCAGGCCTCAGATTCAGGAATTTTCTTCTATAATATTTGATAGCTTTTGAACTGAGTTCTCTTTTTAAAAAATATATAACAAGGTATTTGTATAACTAGGAGAAAAGCCTTGATGTTGGCAGTATTCCTTTCATTTTATTATATTCCTCTAGTTGGTCAGACTTTCCAGATTCCAGGATTCTGGATGTATTCTGATGGATAATGACATGTCAGCATGTGGTATATCTTGTACCTCCTTTTCCTCAGGCTTCTGAGACTAAATATTAACCAGTAATAAGCACTTCCATAGGGGAAGGTTTCTGTAAGTGGCCACTTGTGGTTTTCTTGGTGGACAAATGGCTGCTATGCCAAAAGCTGTAAAACAGATTACTTGCCATTAGACTGGTTATAAATTTATCTGCACCTGGTTTTGATTAACTGGTTCACTCCATGTGTGTTTTTGCTGCATGGGATTATTCCCAGCTGACTTTACATCACATCTATTTTGTCTTCAAAAATAAATAAGTGGTTGATTTGATGTGTTGTTATTTTTTAAATTTTAGTGAAGGCAATAAAAACATGGCTAAAGCATTCTCCTTCTCTTTATCAGCACCTTACCATGCCCCCACCCCATGCAGTCTTTAAAAGCATCTCAAATATATCAGACAGTAAAGGCTTTCAATATTTCTGGTTACCTTGGTCAACATTTTTTAAATTTTTCTTCTAAATATATTTATACCTATATTATTCAATATTTAATTGCTTTGAGTTATTTTTGTAGCTATATGAATTTAAATGATACCATTGAGCTATGTCAGTTTTTTTGGGGGGGGCAGGGGTTTGTGTGGTTTTTTTTACTCACAGGTTATGTTGACTTTCTTTCACTAGAGAAAACCAGAAAATATTACCTATGTAAAATGTATTTGATTCTTAGAAGGTATCATTTTTTAAATTCACTATTCTTGTCTGGTTAATAGCTTCCTTTTTCTTAAATTATATGTCCAAGAGGAGTTTGAAGAATTTTCTTTCCCATTGGGTTTTTGTTTTGTTTTTTAACTTACTATATAGCTATCTCAATGTTACATTATTTCTTTCCCCTTAGATTTCAAAAAGAAAAACTTAAGCTTTATTGGATTCCCACATCAAAGGAAAGTTCTAAGGTAAAGTGGTCTTTACTCAAGGAGTCTTGTTTTGAAGATTTGTAGTAGCTTTTAAAATTATCTCTTAAATTCCTAATTTATGCATTTAAGTGTTTGTCAGTGTTTTCTCTCCAGAGTTTGATTTGTTAAAATATTTGCAGCAAGCTAACTTAACAGTACATTCAGTCAGCAAAGATTATTTTTATGTATTTAATACTGTTTGTAGGAACTATTTGCAGAACAGGATGTTGATCTCTGTAATTGCAAACTCATAAAGAGCTGTTATCTTTTTTTTTCTCGTACCTGCCTCTAAGCATGGGATGTCCCTTTATAATCTGTCCATCAAGTAAGGGAGCCTTTGATTTTTTTAAGAAAGGGTTTAGTCTTGTTCCTCTCCTCCCTGCCTCCCTTTCTTCTTTCCCTTCTTCCCTCCCTCCATCCATCCACGTGACTTGGTGCTGCTCTCTTAACCTTTCCGCACTTCAGTTCCCTTGGCTGCAGGGTTTTATAGATACTAATTCGATTTACCTAATGTGCTACAACCCTGTGGTGTATCATCATTGATATAAGATAGTGTAAAAGTTAAAGTTTGTGCCAAACAAGATAACTATATCTCAGGTGCTTCTTAGATTACTGTTCTTAATAGACTTTGAGATTTTCATGTGGAAACAATGTTATTATCCCTTCCACATAGGCGTGGATCTCACCCTCCACTTCCTTATGCTGGAAGGACCCAAATCAATCTGCCCCTAACTCCACTCAGATGCTCTTGTTCCTAATGTTTATGTATGACATTATTTCTCTACTAAAAGTTGTTTGCATTTCAATAGCATTGGAATAAATAGTTGTCTGACTTAGGTCCTCATGAGGCTAAGCCTGACTCTGCATTTGAAAATAGCAGAATTGATCTTGTGAACACACAAGAGGGGATAAAGACTTGATGAATTTCATCCACATTTTAGTATCAGGTAAACTAGAGCAGTGATGAGCCAGGGTCATCAGGAAGGTTGTTTAATTTGACTCATGAAATCTTCCTTTTCTAGTGCTGAACACAATTTCCCATCTTTGCCATATTTTTAACAGGATCTAAGGCTTATGTTTTAGTTTGTTCAGGCTTTTATAACAAAACACCATACACTGGTGGCTTATAAATAACAGAAATTTACTTCTCACAGTTCTGGAGACTGGAAGTGTGAGATTAGGGTGCCAGAATGGGGTGAGGGTCATGTTCCGGGTTTCAGACTGTCAATTTCTTATATCCTCACTTGGCAGAATAGTCTAGGGAGGTGGCTGGGTCTCATAAAAGCATTAATCCCATTCATAAGGGCTCTACCCTCATGACCTAGTCATCTTCCAAAAGCCCCCACCTCCTGATATCATCACCTTTGAGGATTAGGATATCAACATATGAATTTGAGTAAACCCAAGCATTCAGACTATAGCTGCTTCTTTCCCAATATGACCCTAGCAGGTTGGTTTAGCTTTAATAGTGACTAAGAAAAAAGGAATAAATAGGAAGGGAGACAAGATGATATTGCTTATTCAAGGATAGGAAAAGTAAAAAATATGAAGGTCACACACTTCCATGGAGAGAGGCTCAGAGGGACACAGCTATTCTGACAAGGTGGGTATTATTTCATGTGTACCTATGAAAATTATGGCTTCATTGCCATGGTCCTAAGTGTAAAAAGAGTTGGAGATACAAGAACCTATCTCCTTCAAAGAAATCGAGTCAACCAGACACCAGAGGTGAAAATATCAGGCAATGGGTTTTGGATTCCCACATCTTGTACTTTAAACTGCAATAGGAGAATGAACAGATTATAGGGGGAGCCTTGAGGAGCGTGGGTGCTGAATAGTCATTGTATTAGTAGACCCATGTTTTGTAAGAGATAGAAGGTAATAACAGCAGAATATCCTGCTCTTGCTTTAATGAAATTTCCCCTTGTTGCTACTGCTGGACATTGAAGTAGGTTAATGGGGCACATTAAAAAAATTATCATGGAAGCTGGGAGCAGTGTCTTCTTGGATTATTGAAGCAGAGAGAAGGGGGTAGAATAATAAATAATATGTCATAAAGAGTGAACACTATTTCAGAGAAGATGGAGATAGATAAAAAAATATAAAAGGTACCCCTTAATTTTAGAAACTTTTAAAGTTATAATTTAAAAAAATTAAGACTAGAATTTACTTTAGTTATATATGGGGAGATGGTTTCATACTGAAATACGGGACCATTTGGTAGAGCTGGGGCAACCCACCATGGCCTGCAGAGGTTGTCCAGGCAGAGACCCCTTCTCCCGGAGGGGACAACTGATGAGGAAGAGCATGACCCAGCATCCGGGGCTCAGTGCTTCGGGTTAGCAATCATGTGAGTCTGGAATGGGCCCTAATGGTCACGCTGCTCAGAAAAGCCAGAGGAAGGACAGTAGGGCTCTTTTGGACATTCGTGTTTCATCAGCTATGAGATGATCAGAAGGAGTTACTCCTTCCCAAATGGTCCTCAACCTCATTAGTGTGTCTTGCCTGCATTTTCACTGCATACCCTTGCATATAGAAAGTATAGAAGAGACAGGACTTTTTTCAATACCTGGTTTCATATTGACTTGAGGGGTCTTTCCTTGGTCACAGCTTTTGTGACATGAGTCTGAGCCACACTTTCTAACCCGTTCTCGTTCTTCCTGTTGGCTCATCTGCCTCCTCAGAAGTCATCAGTCACTTAGTGGGAATAAGAGAGAGGTAATAGAAGCAAGAGGAAAATGTAAAGGCAGCCACATGGATTCCAGTAATAAAAGTTCACCTTCAAAATGGAGACTTAAAAAATAACTTTATAAACCTATGGAAATATACTAATGTTTTCATTCATGTATGAAAGTAAGCAAAGGTGATAAGGAGAAAGGTTTTCCCAATCGCATATTCTAAAGATGAAAGAAGGAAA